TAACATTAAGAAAGATGAATAAATACTGTAATAAATGTATTGTTCATTGTTCGTTCATGTTAGTTAATACATTAACTAACATTAACTAATGGAACCTTAATGTAAATTATTACCTTAATATTACATATCAATATATTATTTTTATTCATTTCCATGAAACCGAATCAGATATAACTTTTTAAACTAATTATCCAAACAATGTATAGTCCAACAAAGCTATTATTATCAGAGCATGTGAGCAGAGCATAGTGTCACGAGAGGGTAGCGTCATTGTCCCAGCGTTGCCCAGTACAGCTGTACTACACCATAGCTGCATCCGAAAACGTAGGCAGCTGACTTGCTGCCTCGTTGCCGTATGAGGCACTGACTTTGCAGGCAGCGTTTTTGCACGAAGGCACCTTATGAAACTGATTTCGGACAGGCTTCTGAGGCGGTTTAATGATCAAACATTACAACAAAATAGAACGAGTTTTGGTGATAACTAAACGAATACTTAATTACTATAATACTGATTTCTAGCTAGAAATAACATCAAAAGTGCAAAAAGTTAGTCAGAAATGTACATTTACACACAAACTGACCACCAAACACAACTTTCAGACGCCGTCTTTATTTTTTAGCTCAACCGTCACGGAATGGAATGCACAGGATTGTGGGATATCAAAGGCAGTGAAGGATACATCTATGCTGCCTTCAAAATTCGATCAGAAGAAGGTACCTCCGGAGACAGGAAGTAAAGCAGAATTTGGATTCGGATGTTTTAGAGCTTTCGGATGCAGCCCATGTTACAGTAACGCTATTGCAAACAGGAACAAGTAAACTACAGAAATTTCCTTTCGGCGCGTTATTTGAGCAGACTTTGCTTTTCCGGTGAGCGTGAGCGGTACCAGAGACTGTACATATGCGGTACGCACATTCATAGAGCGAAATATTGAGCGGCGCGTCAAACCGCGCAGTGACGAGGAGAGTGAAATCTGCGTGCTGAACACAGCCGCGCAGAGCAGGGCGGGGCGCGCCATATATATTATTATTATATGTATATTTTTGGCAGTTTTTCTCTTTCGGCCGAATACCGAAAATGCCATTTTCAGCGGCCAAAAATTCGGTGCATCCCTAATAGCTGTACACTCACTACTTTACATTGTAGCAAAGTGTCATTTCTTCAGCGTTGTCACATGAAAAGATATAATAAAATATTTACAAAAATGTGAGGGGTGTACTCACTTCTGTGAGATACTGTATATATATATATTATTCTTCATTTGAATTATTAATTTTGATTCACTGATTAATTTGAATCACTTACTCAGAAGTGTTCCGTTGGACTGCATTTTACCTTCAATTTTTGTCATAAAATACATCTGATTGAAAATGGCTTTCATATTGTACAGCTGGTTGTTTTCACAAAACAAAAATTGACAAAATTACTCAAAAAGGAATTAGATTCATAGTGGACAGTTCATTGTCCCACTTACATTGCTCCTTTCCAGATAAATAAGATTAATTTTTTTAATAAAAAATACTTTTTTTATTGATTTGAGATAAAATTATGATATATAAATCTGCAGAGTGAGACGAGACAAGTTAGCAAAGATAGTTTGGAAATTATTTCCCTGATTCAATTATTATTATATTCAGTTTAACGGTCAATGTACAAAAATATTCGACCTGCTCAGAATCAAGTATTCTAGAGAAATGTTTTATTATGTTTATCATTGTTTTTGATTAGCTTATGTAAATTACATCAAATGTGTTTTTGAAAAAAGTTCTTTACAATTGAGTGATTTTTAAACACTTGCAAATCAGTTTGACCAACTCATTGAAAATAATGATTTGTTCAGGGATCAGAATAAGTTATTTAAAAAGGATTCAGACAGTAGTTGATCAGGGATAAGTTTGGATGTTGGACAGGATTCTGACACGGTCTTTGGTCATTTGATGACAGCATTACGAAGCCTTCACGGGTTGACCTTTAGACGTTGTGTTAGATGCGTTGGGAGTTTCTCTCAGCGTTGTCTTCCTGCCAGAGGGTCCGTCAAGGCTACGGGACACTGACAGAGAGAGAACGGCTTTCAGATTCAGCTCACACCCCCCTGCATATCAGCCTCCTGTAAAACAGCCCAATTTAGCCCTGACACTAGCGCAAACGTCTACGTGCATCTGTCAACACTGATTCCTTCAGTCAGCTCAGAAACAGCTCACAGTCTGCGCACATACATACACAGCTTTCTTACATGGACGTATGAGCTCACTAACATGCTCTCAACATCCTTCTGCAAACGTGATTATATCATGAAAATAAAAAAAGTGAACACCTGATCTTTAAATGACCCTTTTGTCTGGTTCAGACAGTTACAGATGTTTAATTGAAATACTTGATTAAATAATTAAAAGAAAAAGTTTAACATGTTTACACTGGCGCCATAGCCTAATATTTAATGCACTGTGACACACTGAGTTAAGTCACCACAAGTTTGATTAGTGTTTCCCATTATTTTGCTTATCATTTCCTGTCTTTACATCATATCAATTAAAGTGGCAAAAAGAACAAAAATACATCAAATGAAATGTTTATTTTTTTTGTATACATATTTTGAATGTAGATTTATTTGTTTATGAAAGCCCATTATCGTCCAGTCTCTTTACAAGGACAATTATGTGAATTATTGAATTTTTATTTTATTTTGATAGTATTATGTTGCGTCTTTTATTTTAGTATCTTTTATTTAGTGCTTTTTAATTTTATATTTTATTGTAGTTTATTTTTTCTATCTTTTTTCAGTTTTTACATTATTTTATTATATATATTTTTTTGTGTGTTTTGTATTTTTTATTTTAACTTGCTTTTATTTTATTTTATTTAGTTGTATTTTTATTGTATTTAGTATTTAATTTATTTTTAATTGGTCTTATTTTTATGAAACATTTATTGTATTTTATTTGTTCTTTTCTTTTATTTAATTATATTTTAATTCATTTTATTTTTATTGTATTTTTCTACTTTATTATTTTACTTTATTTGTATTTTAATTTATTACTAAATATATTTCACACCATCAGCAATACAATGGCATCATTTTGGGACAGCAGATGAAAATCAGCCATCTTGGCTAAATCTGGCACATTTGTTTTAATTCGATGTGCTAATTAATGTGTATTGTCCCTGTCAAACATTCTGGATGGTTAATATTGTTGTCTTTTTCTTTTTTGCAGTAGTCTCTTTCTCTTTTTCCTGTAAGTGAAACCCTCTTGGTTTCACATTCCATATATCTCAATCACCAAACACTGAATTAAACATATGAACACATGCTTTACAAACCAGCACATGCACACACTTCACAGTCAGTGCTAATTTTTGTGAATAGTGCAGTTTTTTTGTATGTGAAGTGTTTTTTTTTTTTTTGCATGTGTGAGATAAAAAGCAGTAGTGGAGGATTCAGATTTTTCTGTACTTTGGGAGTCCGTAGGGGCTTGAGTAGTGCCTCCCTGCTGGGCTCTTGCCTCTGCGCCTGGCTGGGCAGCTCCAGAAGAGGCGGGAAAGAACAGGAACCTCCGGGCCCCAAGGGAAGAACCTCAGACAGGACCACACAGATGGGCCGGCAGCTTAGTGCTTAAGAGAGATACAGAACGACAGAATGAACGAGAGAGACTGACTGACTCGTTGATGAGAGAAGCACTCAGCCTGTCTGCCCAGCAAGTCACAAAACTAAAGAAGAAAAAACAGATCATAATTAGTATGAGAAGGTTTTCATTTTGCAAAACTGCTGCGCTCTGTTATTGGATTGTGGCAAATTGGTTGAAGATCTGAGTTTGTTGCTGAAAGGTTGTAGGTTCAAACTCTGTAAAGAGCAATCCTTCTGACGTCAAAGATGTTATAAGTAATAAGTATACTGTAGGTCAGTTTGCATAAAGCAGTTGCTTACAGAAAGAATATTTAGTGTCTTCCTCTTACGATGTAATTAAAGTGACTCTGAGAGCTGGGTTGAGAACGACTGCTCTCTCAGCCTGGTCCCTGTGTGGTCCTTTGTAAATATTTGATATGAACTTTAGTCATGAATCTGAGCTGCCGCTTGACATTTCAGTGCACTGCAATTAGAATTCTCCCTCAAATAGTATTCTTTAATTACACTTGGGAATGTCATAGTTATGGTCCAGGCATGCTAGGTGTAGAGCTGCTAACTCTGCAATCACCAGCCGCTATGTCAACATCCAATCAGGGATAAGTATTAATGAGGTAATGGAAGCAGCAGTCAGGACAGCTGTAAAGGTGAAGGCGGTGTACCGAAACCTAGTGAGCCTACATAGACAGCATTTTTAAGGGAATGCTTCACCGAAAATTCTGATATCCTTTTACTCACCCCAATGTTGTTCCAAACCGGTGGGACAGTTTTGAAGAATGCTGGAGTCCATACTATGGAAGTCCATTTCCAGAGAGTCATAATTATGATAAAGTTGAAACTGTGAAATTATGACATGGAAAGTAATTATAATAATTATAACTAACTATTCAAATTATGACACAATAAAAATTTCAATTATGACATGTCAACATTTTGTCCCAATTATGACTTATCTCATAATTTTTGACTTGTCATAATAGTTTTTTTATCTCATAAATTTGACTTTTTAGAACTTAGAACTTCAAGTTTGTCATAATTATGATTTACCAAAGTATGATTTTCTTTTTCTTATGTGGCAGAAATGCAGTAGCCCCTCACTGCAGAACACAAGATCCAGGGGGCATGGTTGGATCCACATCTAGGGGGTGGAGATTGGTAGATTTAGGGGTGGAGATGTGTGGGTTTAGGGATCAGGGGGCGGAGACGGATAGGTTTAGGTATATGTAAGGTGGGAGGAGTTGGATCTGGATCCAACCACGCCCCCTGGATCTTGTGTTCTGCAGTGAGGACCATCTCCAGAAATGGGCTTCCATATTGTAGACTGAAGATTTGTATGGACAAAAAACACTGAAACAAAGTATCTTATTTTGTGTTCCACAGAAGGAAGAAAGCAATACAGGGAAGACAACAGGGAAGAAAAGTCAGTCACAGTTTCCAGTTCAGGCCCACTGTAAGGACTCGAAACCTCACCTTTCAGTTAAATAGAGTTTCTAGCCTGATTTTATCTCATAATTTTGACTTATGCCATAATTGAATATTTTTATCTCATAATTTGTTTTTTTTAATCTAATTGATTTTATCTCATAATTTTGATGTAATGATGGCATAAAGAGTCAAAATAATGACATCAAAATTATGAGATAAAAAATAATTATCATAATAGTGTAAATTATGAGATTACATATTGTGATTATGGCATAAAGAGTCAAAATTATGACAATATGTAATCTCATAATTTACACAATTATGAGAATTATTTTTATCTCATAATATTGACTTTTTATCTCATAATTTGTATCATAGTTTTGACTCTTTATCTCATAATTATGATTTGGCATCTCATTATTTTTATTTTTTAATTTTTCACAAACCATTATGGTTTACCAAAGCATTTTTTTTCTGATGTGGCAAAAACGAGCTTCCATACCATTGACTTTAATTGTAATTATAAAACATAGAGACAAAATATCTTGTTTCGTGTTTCACAGAAGAAAGTCAGGGAAGAAAAGCTAGTTGTAATGTCCGGCTTTCATGTAATTTTTTTTATATAGATTTTGTAGCCTGATTTTATCTCATAATTTTTACTTTTTTTTATCTCATTGTAATCTCTTAATTTGGTCTTTTTTATCTCACTATCTCATAATTTCATCTTTTTATCTCATTGTTTTTATCTCATAATTTTTATGTCATAATTGTGACTTTTTGTGCCTTTTGACTCTTTATCTCATAATTATGATTTGGCATCTCATTATTTTTATTTTTTAATTTTTCACAAACCATTATGGTTTACCAAAGCATTTTTTTTCTGATGTGGCAAAAACGAGCTTCCATACCATTGACTTTAATTGTAATTATAAAACATAGAGACAAAATATCTTGTTTCGTGTTTCACAGAAGAAAGTCAGGGAAGAAAAGCTAGTTGTAATGTCCGGCTTTCATGTAATTTTTTTTATATAGATTTTGTAGCCTGTAGGTCTTTTTTATCTCACTATCTCATAATTTCATCTTTTTATCTCATTGTTTTTATCTCATAATTTTTATGTCATAATTGTGACTTTTTGTGCCATAATTACAACAGGGAAGAAAAGCTGTTTGTATGTCCAGCTTTCAGTTAAAGGAGCCAGACCTTTTGATAGTTTGTAGCCTGATTTCTATTTATTTATTGATTTATTTTTTGAGAAAGAGGGGCAGAATGTTTACTGTTGTTGTTGTATTGCTCTTTCTCAAATCAAGTTGATAGGAACAAGTACAGTATGCCTAGAAAGTGCCGATTCATTTTAGAGTGCTGCCTATGTAGGCAGTGTATAGCAAAGCAGCTCACAAGGTTTTGGTACAGAGCCAATGAATCCTGCCTCCATAATACACATGGCCACTCTCATTCACTTTAAGTCTCTTCCTTACTCTCTCTCTCTCTCTCTTTCTTTGTCTTTTCCCTCGTATCACTGAACCCAGCTTTTGAGTGCTGCTCAAATAGAGAGGGACCACTGGACTGGAAATTGCTCTCCCTACATGTCCCCTCTCTCTCTTTCTTTCTCAGCTCTGTGTGTAGGGTGGTTGCGGATAATTGTCTCTCTGTGCCATACACAGCTGTAGCCGAGGGGTGTTGGACAGCACAGAGAGTTCAGTGTCCCAGTGGGGGACCCATCAGTGTGTTGGACTCAATTAATCCTCTTTCAGCTGGTTAACACTAAAAATATAACTCCTCTTCCTCGCTACTCTGTATTCAAGCCTTTTGCAGAAACTACGAGCGGCCAGGTGTGATCACACAATGTCTGTTTGTGTTTTGCAGTCTTTACGGGCGACACATGCAGGCCAACCCAGAGGCGCCCAAAAAGAACGCCGACAAATCCAAGAAGATCAGCCGCAAGCCGCTGGCGGCCAAGAACAAGTAACGAAGAGGGTGACGAAGAGCTGATCCGACCATCCGAGATGATGAACCTCACTGCATGTGCCTTTCCATTTGATATTTATTCAGAACTTATGTTTTATATTGCTTCAGTATTACGTTAATCATGTAACCTCCAGTTGACTCCACTCTTGATATGCCCCAGCCATTTTTTCCAAGTGTCCTTCTTGTCCAATGCCACTTTTTGCCTTCAAAGTGCCGCTTCTGTCAAGTCAGACCTGTGTTGGGTGCTAATCAGCTTTTCTGAACGTGTTTGTTGTGTCTCGAGAGGCGGCAGGAGTTTTGTCCTACTCGGCCATCCAGACGAGGAGAGCGGTGAATTTTGGGAGGTGGTGACGAGCGTTTTGTAACCGTACAGGGATTTAGAAGGAGTTTGGGGTCTTAGTGGACTCTGAGCAGGATTGTGTCAAGTCTCCGGGGGGAAACCGCTGACTGCTTCCTCTGCCTCTTAATGACCGATATGAATGGCTGCAAACAGGAGTTTCAGATGGTACACAGCAGATTCCAGACAGAAACACCCCGGTGGCCATTTGAGAGGGTCAACAAGATATCGCAACAAACCACAGATGGTGTTCTCTGAAGCGGTTGGCCATTGTTTCTTACTGTTTCTTACTTCTAGTTAACATGACGGTGTAACTTTTTACAGAACAACATACAGTTGTATTTGTAAAGAACCAGTTTCTTGAACCGGTTAATCATGCAATAATATTGCCATTTCTGCCGTCACTACAGTTTTATGTTGCGTACACTAACATCTTCTAATTCTGCAAAGCTTGGCTGAATTTGAAGTTTTATTTTTTATGTATGTTATTTCTTATTTTTAAAGGTCACAAGCCATTTCATTGCAATCACATTTAAATTTGTAATATTTGACTATGTTTTATCATATGCACACAATGCAGTGTGCTATGTACTGAATTTTTGACATTGAAATAAAGTCACCATTTTGTTGGACGATTCAGTTTTTTCTTTCAGCAGTCGTAAGTTGGAAAGAACTTGGAATGACCAAGAAAATCTTCTAAAATGTATACTTCCGTTTAAAGGTTCAGGTTGGTAAGACTTTTATTTTTAATTGTTAGAAAGACGTCTCTTATGCTCACCAAGTCTGCATTAATTTAATTTAAATTATAGTAAAAAATGGTAATATTGTGAAATAATATTACAATTCAAAATAACTTTTATATTTGAATATATTGTTAAATGTAATTTATTCCTGTGATGCAAAGCTGAATTTTCAGCATCATTACTTCAGTCTTCAGTGTCACATGATGCTTCAGAAATCATTCTAATATGCTGATTTGCTGCTCAAGAAAATTTCATATTATTATCAAAGTTGAAAACTTTTTTCTGCTCAATACATTTAAGCATTTTTTCCAGAACAGTATGCATTTTATTACATTTTTTTCTAACAGTGTTAAAGTCTTTACTGTGACACTGAAGACTAAAAATTTGAAGCATGTATTTTCTATTTTTGGGAATTGCCACCAATCTGAAGTCTTATTAAGTGCTTGGAAGATAAGTTAAAGTTTGAAGCTCCTTGCAAGAAAGTTCTGAAGCGAATGCTTGATTTGCAGGGTGTGATCTGAAACAGCTACAGAGGATCATCACATCTAAAAATTATCTTCCCATCGGAGACCCTGTCATGGTCCAGACCACCTCAATGACAGCAGATCAGGGGTAAAGGAGCTGACCTTTCAATGCTGTGAGTCAGATGATGATGGGGTGTGCGCTTGTGTTTGTAGAAGGTCCGTGATAGCCGCATGGGATTTCCTGTCTCTCTTTGCTAATATTCTTCTCACATTATTATTACCCCGTCCAGACGCCGCTGTCCTCCTCGTTCACGCTCCCAGCAGGCACATCTGTCCAGCACACGTTCGCCCCGATACACTTTCCTTTTGCGCTCAGCAGGAACATCTGTCCATGGCAAAGTCCACACCGTGTACCGAACCTCTTCCACTCTTCAACTGTCTTGTGACCCTCTGGATTCTTCATCCACTTTCGAAAGTTTTCTTTGGATTCCAAACGGTGAGAGGTGTGGTTTGTAAAAGTTTTCCGCAAACTGTTAGACATTCGTTACGGCCCAAAGTCTTTAGCCGATCAATCTCTTGCTCTGCGGAGAAGCGGTTGTTTAGATCCCGACCCGAGCTTGTCCCATCCTTCTGCCAGCGTCGATAGGAAGTGGGACGTTGAAGTTTAAAAATTAGTCTGAATGGCGATGGATCACCATGCGCCGACAATTACTCACTGACCTTTCAGAGGAATCCTTGAATGTCTTTTTCTTTTCCTTGAGTTACAGACTTGTAGCGATTTTGCTTGGCTTGATTACTTTTTTTGTTTGTTTAGTTTGTTTTATCACCCTGTTTAAAACGATTTCTCGTGGCGTACTCTCTATGCAGCTCATACGCTGAAGGGCATTACGGCCCTCGCTAACCGAGGTCATTGATTTTTGCCGCTTGATTTATGGGGCCAGGGAAACTCCTCTGGAGAGCAGGTCCCATGCCGACCAATGAAATGGCGTCGCCGGAGACGCTGTTGAACCTAGAATTTCATCAAGCGCTGAGGGTAAACAGTATGGATAGTGGCCCATTGTGTTGTCTGAAGATAATTGGAAGCGTTCGAGACCTTGCCCAGTTAAAACTCAGGACAATACAACAGATTCGGTGCCAACGGTGCAACCAGTCCATCTAACCAATAATCACACGAAACAGAGGTTACTAACCAACTAACCTGTTGAAATCTTGAGAGATGCACCTCAACCGTTTAGTAACACACAGTCGTGCAACTGCAAGGTGGTCGATTCCCAGATTGGAGTTAAATGAATGATTTGTTCTTGCATCCTGTAGTGGCAGTGCATCACTGGCAGGTCTATACTATTGGCATACGTGTCGTTTAGTGGTTGCGCCGTTACCTTCAAAGCTCATTCTCAGGGATACGTGAATAAACATTTTCAATAGCTTAATTTTTCACTGTGCAGTGACCTAGAACATCAACTTGATTAAAAGGGGACTGTGCGAATCCAAAAGTTTGGGTTGCACATCTAAAAGTAAAAAAACTAAACACGTTTCAATGATATAAAAATATTCAAAAATCCAAATGTATTAAAAGATGTCTAAACTAAAATTCACTCAAAATAATATTTAACAAAGCATAAGTGTGTGTGTTATATACATACTTACATTAGTAAATTAGGGGGCCAACACTTTTTCACACCACTATATATATATATATATATATACCTGCAAACTCACAAGAGGTAAAAAAGGTGACATACATGCATACATAGCCTATAATATCTTAATAATTGGCCTTTGCCTCAGTACAATGACAAGTTATATATTTGATTTATACTCTTGACTGATCAAAATGTTATTTTTATATTTTTGGTTACATTGTATTGTTTATTTTTTTAAATTATGATTAGAATATTGTATTTATTTAAACATATAAATGCGTTTTGCTGATTAAATATTGTTGATAATTAGTAGTAGTTCCAAATAAGTAGCTTGAAATAGATTTCATGGGTTTTTAACTTCAGAAAGTAGGCCTGTTTCATATTTTAAAAAGGTATTCATCTCAAATCAATGTTCATGATCACCAGGTTCCCTCAAGACAGTGACAACTTGTCCCGTTATATTTCAAGTGTTTTGAACAGTCTAGATTTGCGTTAAAATGCTGTTTTTGTGTCCTGTGTTGATGTCTGATGTGTGATTTAGCGTTTTGGTGTGTTATAAGACAGCGCTGGATCTCTCCCTCCCTCTTTTTCTCTCGGGTCCTGCGCTGCGCTCACACTCACGCAGAGCGTCTCAGTTCTCCAGATCTTCATGACATCCAACTTGATCCAGCTCATCCCGTCTTTTGTGCACAGAGGAAAGACTTTAAAAGCGAGGGAAGGATATCAGGGTGTGTTCGCGGATCTCAGGCAGCTTTACTCGTCCATCGGTGGAGTTTTTCCTTTGCGCGTCCACATGTGGAGAGACGCTGATGGTGATGCGCTTCTGGAGAGCTGATGCTGATGCTGAAGCGGGGCTGTGAGTGAGCCAACATCAGCAGAAAAGAAGTTAAGTGAGAGAAGAATACAAGAGGAAAAAAAGAGAAGCTGTTGGGGTCCGAGCCAAGAGTTCATTAACAAAACCAATCGGCCATTTTTTTCTTCTCATCTGTAGAGGTGCCTCACCAACCTTCAAAATTTCGCCCAAAAGCAGACAGGAGGATCGGCCGGTGCTGACGCGACTCGTCGGCAGGAAGCGGCTGATCGCGGCTGGGGCGCTCGGTGTGGTCATGGTCCTGGTGCTGGTGATCCTGATCCCGGTTTTGGTGAGCTCTGCCGGGACATCCGCCGCGCACTACGAGATGCTCGGCACCTGCAGGATGGTTTGCGATCCTTACGGTACCAAATCCCCGACCAGCACGGTCTCAGCAGACCCGGCCCGGGACAGCAGCCTTATGCAGTCTTTGCCAACTTTTATCCAAGGTCCGAAAGGTGAACCGGGACGCCCAGGGAAAGTGGGGCCGAGGGGCCCTCCCGGTGAACCCGGACCCCCTGGACCTCCCGGAGAGAAGGGGGAACCGGGACGACCTGGATTACCCGGGCAGCCGGGACCAAACATGGCAACCGGCGCCATCAGCGCGGCCACCTACAGCACCGTGCCCAAAATCGCCTTTTACGCAGGGCTCAAAAAGCAGCACGAGGGCTACGAGCTGCTGAAGTTTGAGGACGTGGTCACGAATCTCGGGAATCATTACGACCCAACCACGGGCAAATTTACCTGCTCCATACCGGGAATATACTTCTTTACGTACCATGTGCTCATGAGAGGAGGAGACGGAACCAGCATGTGGGCTGATCTGTGCAAGAACAACCAGGTGAGTGCGCGCAAACACAAACACACAACTGAAAGCATTCAAATATTCTCCACATGACATAGGCTAATACATTTAAAGATATAATAATAGTGACCTTTCTTTTTTCTTTCTATACAATTTTTAGACGTAAAACCTTTATTGACATCTGATCACGCATAAAAGTTTGTCTCCAGTCTCTGAAAATTACACGTGAGAACATTGCGGCTCTTCTGGGTGTAAAGTATGTGCATCTGAAAACATATAAATTCACATTTCCATAATTTCTGACCTATATGGATAAGATTCTTTTCCAAGGGGCTGTTGACATATATGCGATAAAATGATCAGACCATCAAACCACGAAAAATAAATCAATGATGACAAAGTTATTAATGACTATTACTTGTTATTATTTATTGATTCTTCTTCTTTGTATTATTATTAATTTATGGCAGGAAATATTAATACAAATATGAATACATTTGCAATAGCATTATTATTATTAGCCTAATTGATGTTAAACTTTTTTCATATTCTATAATAAAATGTTTGAAAAATGCATTTTTAAACTAAATGCACCCCCTCCCCCCAGATGTTGTTCTTGTGGACAAATCCAGGTGTTTTTCAAAAAATGCAAAAAAATTTTTTGCTCTAGACTTCTCATTTCTTTCTTTCTTTCTTTCTTTCTTTTAGAGATTGAGAAACTCTTTTGAAAACTTTATTTATATATATATATATATATATATATATATTCTGCATTTGTCTAATCAAATTAGAGATTGACATCTTTTTCATTTAACAAATGGTATTAAAACTTGAGTTCACGTAGGAATTTGGATAGGGTTTTCAGGTATAGCGCTTAGAAAATTTATTTCGTGTTGGATGCAGATTAACAAGGTGAAAATGAATGACTTGATTGAATTCACACCTAAATTGAAAACTTAAATAAACTGTGTTAATAAATGCAACAGCTTGAGTGAGTCAAAGCAATTTTACGTTTCATGCAACAGCAGGATCCAGCATGACATATATTAAGAACGTTAAATGAACTATAGTCTCATTAAAAGGTAAACCTTGCCAAAAATGCTGGTTAGAGTTTTTTCTTGCACGAA